GTGTTTGATGTCTTCTATCTAGATTAGAACTTTTCAATCTTACTATACTTGAAAATTACACATAAAATAAGCATGTTAACAATGTAAAATCTCCAACTCTACACCCAGATTTTGGACCATTTGGAAGTGTGTGTGTGTGTGTGTGTGTGTGTGTGCACGCACGCACATGTGTGTGCATGCCTGGGACAGGATCTCACTCTGGTATCCTGGTGGGAGTGAAGTGGTCAAATCATGGTTCACTGTAACCTCAAACTTCTGGGCTCAAAGAATCCCCTTGCTTCAGCTTCCCAAATAGCTGGGACTATAGGCAGCTGCCATCTCTACTAAAAATACAAAAATTATTTGAAAAAAAATACAAAAATACACCTGGTTCATTTTTAAACTTTTTGTAGAGATGTGGTCTCACTATGTTACCCAGGCTGGTCTTGAACTCCTGAGCCCAAGTGATCCTCCTTCCTTGGCCTCCCAAAGTGCTGCGATTACGGGTGCAAGCCACTATGCCTGGCAGTTCCCTGCGCACTTTTAAACATAAATTTTCCAGGTAAAGTGCTTCTGACTATACTTTGAAAAATACTTTCCAGTCAACCTCCAAATTAAGCTGGGCCAAAAAAGAGCCATGTAACCAGCGTAGGGGGTGTCACACTTGTCAGGTCCCTCTTGTTATGACTGGTTTCACTGAATGACACTTGAGTCTACAATGTAAGAAACTGCCAGCCTTATGAGAGATTGACCTAGATTTATAGATACCTGCACCAAATACATAGAAAAAAAACAGAGGTGCGACTTACTGCGTAGCCAGTACCATTCAGGAAAGCAAAATCAATAGTCTTGCCGGAACAGGAGGCACAAACCAGGGCTGCCCAGAATGCCCAGTGGTTGAACCGCTTGCTCATGACTCCCCCTATCTTCCGTGGGACAAACAGAGAAACATATCTTCTTCCAGACTCAGAATTAATAGCTGAACCATCTTTCCCACATTTGCTTTCTTTGTATCCTGTGGACACTGAATTATTCCTTTCTTACTTCCTGCTGATACCTCAGAGCCAACTAACACTACCTTTTGCAATTCTTCAGTATTTAAAAGTTGCAATGAAACACACACATGCGTATAAACCACACTCCTGGTTTCGGTCTCTCTGTTAAATTCTTACTGCAGTCCATACTCTATATTCCTTTATTTTTAAGGTGGATTCTACTGTGCTCTTTCATATATATTTATGTGAGCTTTCTGAAATCTGTTCTGAAATAGGAGGTAGTGTAAATATACCAAATGACAGACTATATTTATTCATTAGGGACATTTTATGGGCTTCTTTATTAACTCAAGATCATGAGTCTCAAAAGCAGGGTTGAGGGAATCACTTCTCAAAACTGAGTTCCAGGTACCAGAACCCACTCTGAACACAGACAAAGCCCCCGAGCTCTTCTGTGGTTTTATCTGTCAGTCTCCATAAAGTACAAATTTTCTCATCAGTGTTTATTAGGACCACTGTTATCCCTAGGGTGTGAACACCGGCACGTCTTAACAGATGGTACAAATGTTTGGAAATAACTAATGGTTTAATTTATTTTTCATTCAGCTATCTGTATTATTTGCATTAGTGCCAAGCAATGTGTCTAAGTAGTAAGAGCCAGGTGAACCACTCAGAACCAGGTCTGGAGAATTCTTTCTGTGTACATGGGGCATTCTGTGACCCAAATCTGCCTGAGTGAGGTGCCTGGACACCATGGGGATTGATGTAGCGGCTGGTACAGCTGCCTGAGGTCCTGCAACCTCATGGCCACGTTGGAAAATTGTCCAGATTGTGCAATGAAGCTGTGTATGTGTGTGTGTGTGTGTGTGTGTGTGTGTGTGTGTGTGTATTCATCTCTGTTTGTGTATGAGCACACATACATGAAGCTTGGCCAATAACTGAAAGACTCACAACTTGCAAAATCAGCCACAACTAGCTCTCTTACAAACACTATTAACTGAATAACTGCCTACACTGGCATGAAGCAACTGATGGAGGGAAGAGCTGAAGAGAATAATACTTTTCTCAGAAGAAAGGAAACAGCCTTTACATCAAAGCTTAATATGAGCCAATGTGCAGAGCCATCCTTGCATCCATCCAGCCCACATTTGATGAGCACCTACCATGTATAAAAAATGCTGGGTGCTCTGACTTCAGCTGATTCTCTGTCTCTTTCCCACATAAACCTCTCTCTTACTTTCTTTCTTTTTTTTTTCTGAGATGGAGTCTTACTCTGTCACCCAAGCTGGGAGTGCAGTGGCACAATCTTGGCTCACTGCACCCTGCGCCTCCTGGGTTCAAGCTGTTCTCCTGCCTCAGCCTCCTAAGTACCTGGGATTACAGGCACGTGATGCCACGTCCAGCTAATTTTTTGTATTTTTAGTAGAGATGGATTTCACCATGTTAACCAGGATGGTCCCGATCTCCTGACCTCATGATCTACCTGCCTAGGCCTCCCAAAGTGCTAGGATTACAGGCGTGAGTCACCGTGCCTGGCCATATCTCTCTTAGTTTCTGAATACTTTCCTTAGTGTAGAAGGACTAAAGTCTGGCCCTATTGAAAAGGATATTGATAACATCAAAGCCTATTGATGGCCTCACAGTATACAGGCTCATAAGTTAAAAGATGGTACCAGGCATTACCTCCTATGTCTGTGGTTCATGAGGAATCACGCAAGGAATCCTCAGACTCCCTCAGACGGAGTCTCTCATCTTTGAGATCTAAACACTTTGTTTTGTCTCAGTTGAAGACATGACATTCTTAAAGAGGAAGACAAAGGGTGAGATGGGTTGGGGGCTTCCTTTGGGTGTCAACTTCACTTTGTTTATGCCCAGCAGTGTCTGGGCAACACATCCCTTCCCTCCTACCCCTCCTCCAGCACATCCCAGCCCTTGAGTTTTTCTTATGTGCCACACTTCCAGAATGGGCACCTGGGACATTTGTGCTTCTATTTTTTCCATCTAATGGGAACTGCTCCCCGTTCCAAGGCACAGCAGCAATTGAGGTAGTCTCGGGCACACAGCTGCATTGCCAAGGCCAAAACAAATGCATGGCCTCTGTGTACCTGTCAATTGCCTTTCAGTAAATACTAAGGATAGTTTTGTCCCTCTTGTAAAGCAGACATGGAATCTACCATTGTTGTCTCCTAGAAAAGTCTTAAAAAGTGCTTTGAAATCAGGTATAACCCCAAAGGATGGTCCCTTTTACAGCCCACTGCATCAAACCAGCTTCATGTGTTTGCTGGAAGCCGCACAGTGGGAAATCTAAGGTGAAACCCAGGTTACAAATCCAGGCCAGATGTTTTACAAAGTACCCTGCACTCCTGAACTCTCCTGTCTCAAAGGTTACAGAAGCTTACTGGGCATGATCGTACTCAGGTAAAGGAAAACTCATACCATGGAGAGAATCTAACCTGTTTGCCATCACACTTCACAGATATGACTTTAGGTGACCCCAGGAGCAAGAGATAATTGAGTTTGTGGAGATTTCACCCATGCACGCCCTTGGCTACTTTGGCAACGAGGAGTGACTTGTGCAGTGCAGCTCAGAGGTAAGGGGTTCATTCATCCATTCTCCCCTCCATTAATATTCACTGAGCACCTCCTACATGCCAGGAGCTGCAAATGGCCCTGGAAATACGGCCTTTGTGGGGCTTACATTCTATTCAGGGAGGAGGATAATCAGAAAACTTTTACATAAATATGCAATATAATGGGGGATGGGAATGAATGACATCAAGAAAAGCCAGGCAGACAGGAGGCTGGAAGTCACAGATGGAATGGAGAGCAGTTCTAGATGGAGGTGCTCAGGACCAGCCTCCCTGAGGCCGTGACACTGGCATGGATACTTGGTGAAGGACAATGATGTGGAACTACCTGGAATCAAGGGTTTCAGGCTGAGCTGATGCCAAGTTCAAATCCCTGAGGCAGGACCACAGGGTGACCAGATGGCTGAAACGGGTAACAGGAGGGAACCCATAGAAATTGCTGTAAGCAGCTGAGACGTAATCCAGTGCCAACAGGCAGAGACTAAAGGGCAGACCCGCCTGCATCCTACCTTGGCCTCTTTTTAGCCAAATGCCCTCCTTGGAAAAGCTGGTGGACCTCTCTGAAGTTCGTCGTCCTCATTAGGGAAATCATAAGAAAGATGCCCATTTTCAAAGACTGCGTGAGATCATGCTTCTAAAGCATTTATCAAAATACCTCCTGAAGGGCAAGAGTTCACTCACTGATGACTGTTGCTGTTGTCCCTATATTTCTGGTTTTATGTAGCACGTGCCTTCTGAGGAGCTTTAAGTTAATCTTTCTGCTACCTTTCCTTTGCTAGATAAATAAGTTCTTGGCACTTCTCTCAAGTTCGAGGACTATTCCTTTGGGTTGGTTTTCAATTATGTCTGTAGTAAAGAGTTACTCTGGTTACTGCACTCTGTATCACAGGCCAGTGTTAGCTGGAATTTTAGAAGTTTAAGAGCATGTAAGAGAGCAATATATGGCTCCCAAATTTTTATTTTGCCAGATAAGGAAATTTTAAAAACAACCACGTCTATCATCTTCATAAATAGCACTTCATGAAGGACAGGATGTTTGGCACAATGATCTCCAAGAAGGGGCAGTTCCTCCCGAGAGAGGTCACCTTTCAGAGACATATAGACACGTGTGCCTATGTGCGTGTGCACAAGCATGCCTGCATGTCTGGATGTCCTTTCTCTCTTTCTCCATATGTTGTGTGTGTGTGTGTGTGTGTGCATTTTTCCTTATGTGGCAAAATGAAGAGCTTATTGCTGTCTCACATAATTCTAAAATCCAAACTACACAAATGTGTCTATCTCACTTTGCTGGCGATCCGTGAACACACGTACACAGACCTCTGCCAGCTGTCATTTACAAGCCCTGCTCTGGACAACAGAGGTGTAATCAACGCCACAGGTGCGGGAGAAGAGCTCCCTGCGGCTCAGCCTCGCCTTGGGGACGATGTGATCCGCTGACCTGCTGGCACGATAACTCTGCGCTCGTTGGTGGTCATGTTTGGGGGCGGCATGTGCTTCTCCTCCATGTAGCCGCCGTAGCTCATCCCCACGGTGTCTGGGCTGCCCACCATCTTTCCACCTTTTGCCACACTGCATTCATCAGGAGAGTTCCTGAAGGAAAAGAAGAAATGTTCTGCCGTGACCACAGCAACCAAAGAGCATGTCCCCGTCGACTTCCCACCACACACAGAGACAGCCAACAAAAGGCCAGGGGGAAGAGATGGGGGAGGAGGGAGAGGCGCGAAAGCCAAATACAGTGTCTGCTGTGGTCTGAACGTCTGTGTGCTCCCAATACGTGTATTTTGAAGCCCGAACTCCCAGTGTGATGGTATTAGGAGAGAGAGCATTTGGGAGGTATTTCAGCTGGATGAGGTGATGAGGGTAGAGCCCTATGATGGGATTAGTGCCCTTATATCAAAAGGAAGAGACCAGAGCTCTCTCTTTCTGTCATATGAGGGCAGAACAAGAAGGTTGAGGTCAGGCCATCTGCAACCCAAGGACAGAGACCTCATCGGGGACTGGCCCTGCTGGTGCCTGAGTTTAGACTTCCAACCTCCAGAACTGTGCAAGCTTAAGTCCTGTTGTTTCAGCCAGTCAGTCTGTGGGGTTCTGTAAAGGCAGCCTGCACAGGCTAGGACAGTGCCCGCACTGGCTAGATGGGCAGAGCATCCACGAGGGAGGTGGAACTGCAACCTGGCTTCTATTCCTTAAGCGGCTCCACCTGAAGCTGTCGTGTCAGAACTCCATCTGTGACAACTGATTGGGAACACTTGCGGGGGACAGTGAACTGCTCTTTGTTCTTGCAGTGTGACAGTAAACAGGCAGAGAAGACAGATGCTGAGAGGTGGCACCAGGGACCCTCGCTGCTCAGTGAGGTTTATCCTGGAACGATGCTCCTTTTCGAAACCTCAGAATGAAATCCTCCTGCTGCATTTCAAATCCCTGAGCCAATCTTTACACACGGAGCTTTGAAGACTCGCTGTGTTCCAGGCTTAGGTGTAGACAGGAAGGGCAGGGAAGGGTGGGGGCTGACGCTAGGGGAGGCCTCATGGGAGTAGACTCCAGCAGTCCCAGAGGACCCTTGGGAAAGGGATGTGGAAGGAACCGTGTGGATGCGGAGAGGGGCGAGCTACTGACTGCTGACCTGGAGCAGCAGGTCACAGGGCTGCTGTTAGTAAGGTAGTCACTGTCATTTGGATAAAGTCAAACCTTTCTGGAGAAAGAAAAGGAAAACATTTAAAAAAGTGAGATGTGAAAGCTACAGGACATTGGTGATATCACACCTGATACGGAAATGCCGAAATGAAAATACAGCTTAAGCAGAAAACGGAAAACACATGTCAGTGCCTTCTTAGATGGTCAACACACAGATGGTCAACCAAGGGTCACTGTAGCTGAGGAGTATTAATATTCAGGGTCTGTGGTCTAAGGTGGATTTCCAGAAATGCCTCTCAGGCTCTATCCAATGTACCTATTTTTTCATTTTCCTGGGAATCTGGGAAACTTCACTCTCTCTGGATTTTAGATTTCTATCCCAGTGTTTCTGGCTGTGGGATCCACTCCAATGAACCTTCAATTATCTTTTCCACACCTTGTTAGTTGGAGTTCTACAGAGAACTTGTAGAATCAAAAAGCTACAGGCTTGGCATGGCTGTGACCTTCAAGTCTAAGCAGGTCGAAACCATCTGAGGCAGGAGAGCACTTTCTGAGCGGAGTGAGAAGGAGATCATTCCACACCTGAAGGTCACAGCTGGGACGTAGACAGGAAGGGAAAGGGTTTGTTCAGCATCTGGGAACTTGAAAGTATAGGTTTGTTCTCAGCATCGCTTACAAATGTGTCTGAAGCTCATGGATGGGTCTCAGGTGTTGACAGTGAAGTGGGGACATGGCCATATGCGGATGGAGGTCAGAGTCAGGGCCACGCAGGACTCAGGCCCTACCACGGGCCCAGGACACAGCCCTGCCTGATGGCATCCTCACAGCTGTGCTAACATGAAGGAAATTTTAAAATAATAATGGTCTGAGTTCCCATGAAGTAGATCCTGAATATTTCCACCACTGCCGACACATGCATTATTTCCTCTGGATGCTATTTTTCCTGGCTTCACACATTTATCTCTAAAAGACCCATCCTAATATCAAAACACAGAATGTCTTCACTTGCAACTGAGTTTCCTAGTCCTCTGGAAAATTCCGTCAGCTGAGTAGAGTGCATATGTTTTGGTATATTTGTCTCAAGAAGAGAAGTTACCAGGGAAAAGAAGTTAGAGGGATTCAGTCCTTTAGGAAAAAGTCTTTACCCGGATGATGTGAGTAACTCAAGTAACAACTATAAATTCTAGACAATCTTTGATCAGTTTCAATCATTCACTCATCCATTTAGACAACTGTTACTGAGTGCCTGCTGTATACCAGGCCCCATCAATTCTTTCTTCTCCAGCAATGCAGTTAACTGTTTCAAAAGCAAAAGATCCAAGAGACGTACAGAATTATAGAAACAGGGGACATCAGGGATTTTGAACCCATGCGGCCAATCCCTTTTTCATTTTCTTTTAGTTCTTTATACTTTAATTTTCATATCTGAGCACAAGAACTCCAGGCATAGATCACAAAAGTTTTCTTATGGCATTAAAGTAGATCCATCAGGCCAGTTGTGGTGACTCACGCCTGTAATCTCAGCACTTTGGGAGGCCGAGGTGGGTAGATCACTTGAGGCCAGGAGTTCGAGACCAGCCTGGGCAACATGGTGAAACCACGTCTCTACTAAAAATACAAAACTCCACCAGGCATGGTGACTCATGCCTGCAATCCCAGCTACTCAGGAAGCTGAGGTGGGAGGATCACCTGAGCTTAGGAGGTGGAGGTTGCAGTGACCCAAGATTGTGCCACTGCACTCCAGCCTGGGTGACGGAACAAGATTCTGTCAAAACAAAAACAAAAACAATACCCTTCACCAAATCTGGATATGATGAACTATTAAAATACATTTTGCAAGAGCTTTCTAAAAATATGTGTAACTATTTAAAATAAGCAATGGCCAGTAAAGCTACTGTTTTCATTTTACAACGACAACATTCAATTCATCTCATCAGATTTTCCCATCCTAGCTTTCATTGTGGAAAACTGCAGAATGAGGCCCTCAGACCCTATTTTCAAAACTTACAACTTTAAAGTTTTTTTTTCCACTGCATTTTGGTTTAGCTTTAGAAAAAGATAGAACAGAGCCATATATTTTTTTTTATGATTTCATGTGTTTTTTCTGTAATAACTCTGAGGGAACTCCATCCCCAAAGAGGAAATGATAATGGGAAGGGTTGCTGAACCACTGGACTCAAAGTGGATATTCAACAGATACTAGTTAAGCAGACCCCAGCTGTTCTAGTCTCACTCTTTCATCTTTTTCCCTTGTTAATTCTCTTGTGGTTTTTGTTGTTGTTGTTGTTGTTTTTGAGACAGAACCTCGCTCTGTCGTCCAGGCTAGAGTGATGCAATCTCGGCTCACTGTAACCTTCTCCTCCTGGGCTCAAGCGATTCTCCTGCCTCAGTCTCCCTAGTAGCTGGGATGACAGGCACCTGCTACCACGCCAGGCTAATTTATGTACATTTTGGTAGAGATGGGGTTTCACCATGTTGGCCAGGCTGATCTCGAACTCCTGACCTCTGGTGATCTGCCTGCCTCGGCCTCCTGAAGTGCTGGGATTACAGGCATGAGCCACTGTACCCAGGCTTCTCTTGCAAATTTTAACAGAAAAAGAGTAGCGTTAACATGTTTAAGACCTGGTCTGGGAGGTTAACAGTTATCAATCTTCACCACGGGAAACTGTGTTGCTGGCATCATCTCCAGTTTCCAGAGGTGCGAACTGAGTAGCAAAACACAAGGGTCTGCCTCCAGGACTCACAGCCGGGAGGAGGTAGAATGAGACTTCAATCTGGGTGGCTCCGTCCTGCTTCTCGACCCTGCACAGAATGACTCTGCAGTGTAAAGGCAAGACAGGGTCCTTTCAAAGGTAACTAGAACTTAATTTCAGGAAGGCATCAGGGACTCTCTGACCCATACACTACTCTGGTTTAAAGTGTACACCGCAACACTCACCCTGACATGCTGTCCTACCCCAGGACTCTTCATTCCCTGCACAGCATGTGTATGTCACAACCAGGGCACATATTCAAGACACAAACAAGAAGGAGGGGTGATTCCTGGAGAAGAAAAGGATTTTCAGAGGTATCTGCTTTACTTAAGAAAATGCCAAGCACAGTGGCTCCCACCTACAATCCCAACATTTTGAGAGGCCAAGATAAGTGAATTGTTTTAGCTCCAGAGTTCAAGATCAGCTTGGGCAATGTGATGAAACCCTGTGTTTACAAAAAATACAAAAATTAGCTGGACATGATGGCACACCTGTAGTGCCAGCTATTCAGGAGGCTGAGGTAGGAAAATCACCTGAGCCTGGGCAGATTGAGACTGCGGTGAGCTGAGATCACTGCACCATAGCCTGGAAAGCAGAGTGAGACTCTGTCGATAGAGAGAGAGAGAGAGAGAGAGAGAGAGAGAGAGAGAGAGAGAAAGAAGGAAAGAAAGAGAAAGAAAAGGAAATTTGATCACAATTCAGAGAACGGAAAAGTGTTCATTTGAAAGTCTCACTATAAATACATTTTTGGCTCTTCGCCCAGGTGTGATGAGAGATCCACGCTGCAGAAAGCTGTGTCCTGATGACCACATTGCAGCCCCACCTTCAGCACTCCGAGGCTCACATATCACCAGGGAGAAAGTTCCCACAAACAGCTTGGTATGCCACCTGCACGAAGTGCTGCCCAGCATGGAGGACCACGTGTTCTCCATTCTCACATGATAAGAATTTGGAGGTTCCATTGTGCACATGGCAAAGAGCACACTGCACAGGGAATGAACAGTCCTTACGTAGGACAGTGCGTCAGGATCGGGGCTGCAATGCACACTTCAAACAAGAGTAGCGTATGGGTCAGGGAGTCCCTGATGCCTTCCTGAGATGATGATCTAGTTACCTTTTAAACATATACATAATTTTAAACATACACATGCAAACCTTTTAAACATACACATACTTGCATATGTGTGTTGCAGCAGTTCCTGA